AAATTTTCACGGAATTTTCTCCGCACAAAGAGGAAAAATCACAGACATTTTCAAGACTGGATGTTAAGTAGTTTTTCATTTAAAAAATAAAGTATGACAGGAAGTCTGCGACGTCGCAAACCGAGATACGTGGTTTGGTAGTTTCACCGTCGATATATAATGTCTTGGAAGAATGAGGGTTTGCTTGTTTTTTTGTTTTGTCTGTTGGGTCCAACGGAGAATAATATATAGTTGAGAGTTTTGTTAAAAATGGGGGAGCGTCAATTCCATGAGACAAAATTCACTGAAACTCTCCACACCTCTTTTGTGTAACAGGACTTAATTATCTTTCAAGAATTTCCCAACTTGTTATACCTGAACCGGATAAACCTCTATATATGCCTCAGCTAAAGGCTCTTCGATTTTTCCTGTGTATACGATAAGTATCTTGATTTATTTTGCGAGAAAAGATCTGTACTTTTAAAGGATGCCTGTCATTCTTAATACGTTCAACTTCGTATAATACTGTGCAACACCTCTGTTGTGCGCCGCCACACGGCGCGGCGGGCGGGCGGCCAGCGCGGAACGCGCATTGGCGCCTACAAACCTAAGTGGATACTTCAAGCATTGTGCAATGCGTGAAGTATCCACTTAGGTTTGTAGGCGCCAGTGAGCCTCTCGCGCTGGCAGCACGCCGCTTCGCTCTGTTTGGCTTTAATATTTATACTCGCATATTCAGCGTTTTTTAACTCATGATTTTGAAATGTTAGCACACTCTGCATTGATTATTCTCATTTAAATTTATGAGAAATAATATGTATCAATTTATCAAAGGACAATAATAATATAATGTGTGTTTTTAAAATATTGATGGTTCCGTGTCAAATTTAATGATTTCCAAAGCACTTTAACTTTTTTTTTTTAATTTTGTGCTTTTATTTGTGCTGCAGCGAGGTGTACGCGCAACGAAACGCTCAAAATTTTTGGAACGCTCACAATTTGACTCTAAAAGATCGATGTACAAATGGGTTAAAACTAAAGATTGCGTGCTTCTTGGTTTTTTTCCCTCTTTTATTCGTTTTTGCAGTTTCTGTCGGCACAACTGCGGCTCATTGAGATTAATGTCGCTTGGAAAAGGTTTTACAAATATTTGTCACGTTTTAAAAATACGAATGTTTTCAAAATGAAGTAATAATCTCGTAAAGAAAAAATAAAAAAAATTTAAAAAAGTACCTATACATATATGAGGTATATTGTACATTCAATATTTTAAGGATAGAAATAAAACCAAATATTCACCAATGACAATTTAAAAAGATGATTCAAAAGGAGAAAGTAGTAACATTTCATTTAGAAAATGAGCAACCATAACAACACCTCCTTCTCTCTTAATTTCTCATTTTCATATTGTCAGTATAATTTTACATACCGACTAAAATGTAACGCTTGGACCAAGTCACCGTTGCTTGTTTCACGTGTGGGCGTAAAATACTGGACAAAAAAGGTGCGCGGAGAATATATATATTATTCTACCTCTCCTTCTCTATTGCTAATGATTAATATATATATTATTCTACCTCTCCTTCTCTATTGCTAATGATTAATATATATATATTATTAAATCGTTGACAAAATGTCCTAAAACCGAGTCCACCGTTGATGTTTATTACCCCTTTCTTCCCCATGTCAGTCTAATATAAAACAATATCTGCAGATAAACTAGTGTTTTAGATGCAAGTATCAGCAATAAAAATCCAACCCTTCTTACGACTATTCAGCTACGCACGTGATTGCCTTCCTTTGTGCGACGCGGAAACGTATCTTACACCCTCACTTCAACGACCATATGCTCTGCAGATAACGTTAACCTTCAACCCGTGAACGCCCTCAGGATCAATATTGCTCCACCTGTTGCATTGTGCGGACAAGTTCAAGACTTTCGTTCATTCCCCGAAATACTCCTTCATCTAATTTGATGCACGGGGACTTATTGGTTCTCATATCCACGTGCATGAATCGCAAGATTGATATATTATTTGTATCTACATATACGACTCTGTCTGTATTTCATTCCTCTTATCCTTCAGAGATTCTTAGTATCGACGGCTGAAATCGAAAAATGCGTATGTTCAATGACAACATTGCAAATGTTCCCTCTTGGCTCATTTGTTCAAAATGAAATCAATCAGCAATAAATTGGTCTTGCAGTTTTTTTGTGAATTTTCTTTTTTATTCAAAAATATTTTTACAGAATATCATGAAAATATTCTGGTTGGTTTTCTCTCAAAAAATGAATTTTAAGTGGAAATTCTAAAACGCTGTAATGAAGGTTCACTTGTTTCGACTTTTGCCATGGATATGAACGGTACAACGATAAAACTAATGAAACCCGTATTTCGTTCGTAGTGTTTCAAGATCTCCACTTCCATTTCATTTCATCGAAGGAGAGCAAACCAACACTATTCTTGAAATTTTCACAGAATATTTTTCATACAGAGCAGAAAAATCGAGGTACTTTTTAAATGTATGGCGATTGTAATTATTCCATTTGAGAAATAAATTATGACAGGAATTCTGTGACGTTTCAAATCGAAATACGCGTGTTTTCACAGTCTCTTCATCGAGTTATCTGATTTCGGCGATTTTACAGAAGTCTTCGACAATTTTTTTTTTTAAAAATTCCCCAGAAAAAAGGCTCAAGAGGAGTCCATTTCCTCGAACGGATAGCGAGGCTATATAGGAAGGTTAGTAATTTCACTTAATGATGATTTATGAATGTCACGCTGAGAGGCTCTCTGAGAAGGATTGTAAAACTTCGGATTGTTCGTCAAACTAATGACCCATTAAGTCAAGCATCAGTCATCATTAGGTGGGGATTGTGGTTGATTCCCGAAAACTGCCTCCTCTCCGTGTAAATCCACTATGTGCAAAATCTTCAAGACACATAAGTGGTTCTTACATAAGAGATGACTCATGTCATAGGAGCGTGGAAAATCTACTTTTGATTTCTCTATACAGATAGGTGTTTTAAAAAAAAATAATAAGAAAACCTTTTTGCGCTTGGTTTCTTATTAGGAGACATTTTACTATCTGCTTCTGTTTAAAATGCTCTAGGTCTCTGATACTTTCCAGCATTTACTCACGGCGGGTTAGCAACACAAGTCGTATAATCGTGTTGTAACCATTACCTACAACACGGTTATATAAAGTTCGGGAAGAATCACAGTACGAGATCCGAAATCCATATATGTGACACACAAAAGCGACAGAGCAGCATCGGCACAAATCACAAATCAGCTGTCCAAATTATGATTTTCGTCAAAGAATTACTATGCCTGCGTAAATCGCCTTCATTTACTCGTGTTGGCAAAATATGTGTCGTAGTGTGAGAATAGTAACCTTATCAAAACTCTTCGTACCCCGATCCAATTTACCCAATACCTGGCTCCAGAAGGAGAAACGGTGAAAATAATTGCCGATCGCGCAACGAATCCATTTGACATTTTCAAGGAAAAAAGTATAAATAATGCACACTATAAAGCAATGTAGTTCCGAAAAGAAACATGTACCTAAGTCACGGAAGGAAAAAAATTGTTGCTCTTACAACACTCCTAGTGGATTCGAGGTCTAACATTCTTTTCTAGTCTTGTTGCAAAAATACAATAAATGTTACACCGAAAAAAATAATATGCTGTTTTAGCCCCTTGGATGTTAAAAATGTGTCTGGTGATCTCAAGATGCTGCCTTAACGGCCTATAGAGTTAAATTTGCATTCACATAGGATGTAAAGTTAACTGCGAGGGCAGTAAGGACAACATCTCCGGATCACCAGACACATTTTTAACATCCTAGGTGCTAAAACAGCATGTTATTTTTTTAGGTGTACTTTTGTGATAGAAATTATTTAACTTCGGCAATCATTCGGTATTTCAATTATTCAAAACGGTTTGGTACAATGACACATTGTTACCGAACGGACAGGGCGGTCGCGAAGGATGTAGGTAATATCGCAAATTTGGGAAAAAAAGTTGATAGGACCTGATCTCACCATGAACGTTGTAGGAGGAAATATTCTTTTTCTACGTAGGAGCCGAGTCGAGGAGGGTGGGGAGTTTGATTGTTCTCAACTCCCTGCATTTATAGTGTAACCTTTCTCTCGGCAATTTGTGTTAATCTGATGGCATTTCTTTTAAAACTAGTGCTCTTGCGGGAAGAGAAAAAAGGATAGACCACATGACAAGTTACGATTTTCAGCATTCTGATCCATATTTCTTCTTCAAAATGTTACGAGCATCATGATTTGTACGACGGAAGTTACTGAAATCAAGTCCAAACCAAGATATTAAAAAAAAATTTCAGCATTTGTGTACGAAAAGTTTTTATTTCACGCCCTATATAAAGCGCAAGTCTGCTTTTTTCGTTCGAAAGATCCATTTTTTTATTATTTCCATGAAAATGCCATGATTTTCATGATTTTTGCTCTATCGACAAGAGATGGTCCATAGGTGAACCCGCTCTCTTTCCACGAAGCACCCTTTAGGTTTGGACCGCGAAACGGCCAGCGGACGCACCCCTAATTTGACTACATTTTGCAATAAGGAATTACTATTTCTGCAGACTCATTGTAGAAACAACATACATGTCATTGGTTTCCATATGCAGATAAGTGTTTTTATGGATGAGCTAGATATAATGGTTCCTTGATGCAAAATGTGGTCCAATTGGACGTATTTCTGTTGAACGGAACTAAGCGCCAACTTGAGTTCCTTTTGAGGATCTTAGAATCCCGGATAGCGTGTTCTGTCAAACGGAACTAAGCGACATGGAAAAGCATTACGAGTATAAGACGGAACGAGCATCGCGTTCCGTAACACCCGCCAATCCAAGCCCCCCTCTCCCTTCCTCCCCCTACGGCGCTTAGTTCAGTTTGATAGAAATATGTTCAATTAATAATAATGCTTAAATTCGTATCTTGTCCAATGATCTATTCTTTAGCGAAAAAAAAAAAATAATTCAAGTACCTTCTGGTAGAAGAACGGCATGGTGAGGGCGATGTACCTCTCGACAGCCATGACGATCACGACACAGCCAGAGTACAGCCCAAAACCCCTGAGCACAACCCGGAAGCGACATAGCCAGAGGCTGTGCTTGACCATGCACTGGATGAGGAACAAGGACATCATCCCTATCAGCGCCACCAGGTCGTTGCTCACCAAACACCGCAACATCATCCTGTGCTTGGCATTGTGCGGCCTGGAACGGACCCGGCAGAGGATGAAGAGCGCGGTCAGGTTCCCCAGGACGCCCAGAACGTAGACGGAACAGATGACGATGAGGGTGTATCGGAACTTGCTCTCCTCGTGGACGGGCGGGCTGCACCCGCCGTCGTCGTTGCAGCAGACCCACGTGAAGTTGACGCAGGTCGAGGAAAAGTTGGCCGGGCAGCGCGGGTGCGATATCGCGTGCCGGACGTGTGTCATGTTTTCCATGAGGCCCATCGTAGGTTCGGAGAATCGACAGTCAAAGGAAGGCCATCGCAGGGGTAGGAAATCCATCAGGGTAGCGACGCATCCCCCGGGAACGCTCACATTTTACTGTTTGGTCGGCGAGCACACTGCGTACTAATACAATTTCGCGCGATTTTTTTTTTTTAATGACAATTCGATATTAAGAAATAATGTGTAAGGGTATGTGAGTTTTAATGCGGTGGTTTTATGAGCCGAAGAAATTGCACTATTTTTCCAAGATGTTATGACGTTTTAATTTATTTTGATGTTTTTTTTAGACAAATGTGCAGAAATTCGTTCGGTTTTTTGTAGATTTTCCAAGGAACACAAATTGCACAGTTTTAGCACGATTGATGAAGATAATTATGATTCAGTATGTTTCAGTTTGTAAAATTTTACGAAATTGACAGTGACACTAGAACTGAAAGGGAGGCTTCACAGTAGATCATCTTTACATTTTTGTCACGAAAAGATGTTCGGACTATTGAAGATTCCAGGTTGAAGACAATGATCAAAAATATTATGCCACGAACGCGCAGTCAGTTATCAGATCGAAATTAGAGTCCAATCCGAACACTTTTCATAGGGGGTGACTTTTTCTAGAATTTGAAAATCCTGGACGCGCACCTTGAGAGGAAACGATTTATTCTAAAAATGTTCCAGGTGGAAAAATTTCCTAAAATTTCGGCATCGTAGACACGCACTTTGTCGCCGATCAACAAACTACCCGACTTCGGGTCTTCACAGCGACTTTCGACGCCTTGCCCCTACTGAAAGTGAGGTACTGTTTGTAAACCCTTAAAATCGATTGCAAGGGAGGCAAAAACATACTATATCACCGCGCGAATCGGACGAATATACCCCCGTCACAACTCCGCTCAAAGTGGGAAGCGCACTTTTGGCGAGGATCCGCGAATTAGGGGATGTTGCGAGCGGTCGTCAGAGCTGAGCGTCCGAGAGCAATCCAAACATTTACCCTCCGGGGTCGATAATATTCCCATCAATTCCCGCGGGCAAACAACGGAGCCCGGCAGTCAAGATTCCGAAGACGGTGAGCGAAACACTGACTCCGAGCGGGCTGTAAACTAAAATCGACGGACCTGAGAATTACACACCGCGAGACGGCAACGCCACGTCGCGGATATCGAAGACCGCGGATATCGGGATTGGGTTCACTCTCGCGGACGAAAGATTCCGAGCGAGCTGAACGTGAAGACTGAGGGAGCGGCGGCGCTGGTGGGTGCGTGCGAGGGGCGGGCTCCCCCTCCCCCTCCGCCACCCCCGAAATATTGTCACGTCCCCGCGACCGCAAGGGTCCGAGGGGGGCTATAATGAGACCTGGAAGACCTCCTGGTTAACTGGCGCCATAAAGCGCGGGTGCGGAGCCACTTCAGCCCATTTAACGCTCCTTTTCGGCTAATTCCCTGCTGCGCTGCAGTTGCAAGGCTCATGATGAGGAAACGGCGACGGTTTAATGGGGTTGTCTCGCCTCGGTCGCGATTTGAGAGAGCGGAATGCTGATCGCTTTGGGGTTTCGGTGTTGAACGGGGTTGGTTCCGATTATTTTTAAAATGAGTGAAGTTTATTCTTTCGTTGCCTGTTTGCGGGGAGCAGGATCGTCTGGGCGGTGGAGATACGAAATGAAATCTGATGGAAAAAAATTCATAAACTTTTCTTTAACAAAAAACTTATACATTTTAATATGTCTAAAGAAGAAGACAGAGAATTTTACTCATAAGACTTCCTCTCCATCCTCAAATTATTTCATTCACGGGCAAACTGGCTTCGATGGCTAGAGGGCGATCGTCCCCCGAGCTTTTGCGCGAGCCTTATAATTAAGGGTATAATGGGGCCTTTTCTAGCAGACTTTTTCGAGACTTTTCAAGAAGCCTCGCAGAGCCTCTCAGGACCTCATATGGGCCCTTCCCTTCCTCCTTATAGTCGGAGGGGTCCTCCAAATCTTCTTTTTGCGGGGTCCACCCCTAGAAAATTCGGTGACAGCCCTCGCAATTCGTCTCCCCTCCGACGCGACATAAGAGCGTATCTCATTTTCCACTTGAGCCCAGTTTTACTTATAGATCAATGCTTTCTGAGGCTCATGCGGAAACCGAGATAAGTCCTTACGCCAGAGGAGCGAGGAATTGTGCCTAATTTTTCGAGGGACCACTGTGAAAAGGGCGAGCGAAAATGGCGGAGCTGGGAGGTGGGCTGTTATTGGTATTGTATGCAGATGGAGATGCGACGGTGTTTATTAGCGACGGGCGCGCATTCGCACTCGGATCATGTCCCGCCCGCGAAGCCGGAAACGGCCGATCGCCGATCCACAGGTCGCACCGACCGGCCCCGGGCCCCTCGCTTTCAGGGCACGTTTGCCCAGCCTGGACAATTCGCAATTATGGATTCATCGCTTGGATTTTCGCTCACCCGCGCTTGGAAATCGCCCCGCGTCGCACACGGGTAAACTACCTATAGTGTATGAAGAGAGTAATAGGTTTAGTATATCGACGGTGAAACTACCAAACCACGTATCTCATTTGTGGTGTTTAAAAATCTACACTCGCATTTTATTTTTTTGAAATAGACCAAATCAATATCATTCCTTGAAATTTTCACAGAATTTTCTCCGCGCGAAGAGGAAAAATCACAGAAATTTTCAAGACTGGACGTTAAGTAGTTTTTCATTTAAAAAATAAAGTATGACAGGAAGTCTGCGACGTCGCAAACCGAGATACGTGGTTTGGTAGTTTCACCGTCGATATGGGGATTATGTACCTATAGTATATGAGGAGTTTACCTGCAGTATATGGGAGAGTACCTGTTGTATATGGGGAGAGAATCTGTACTATATGCACTGAAAAAAAAACACATTGGATCTAGAGTCCAGACTCTTGAAAACGTCGACAAGAAAAAATACTCTTGATTCAATCAGATTTAAGCTTAAATCAAGAACCAAGCCTCTTAATTTGAGCGGATTTCCTTTTGATTTGAGCTTGAATCCGATTGAATCAAGAGTCCTTTTTCTTGTCAATGTTTTCAAGAGTCTGGACTCTAGATCCAATGTTTTTTTTCCAGTGTGGGGAGAGTACCTATAGTACATGGAAAGAGTACGGACCTGTCGAAATCAATCGCCATAAGGGCCCAAAAAGACAGCCAACCGTCCAACACGAAAAAACGTTAGAAAAATGCCGCTGTCAACCTTCAGATCCCCATATCAGACCAAATGTCTGAGAATGTTCATAAACGAGCGTCCTTTCCCATAAATGGACGTATCTCTGTCAAACGGAACTAAGCGCCACGGAAAAGCATTACGAATATAAGACGCGAATCGCGTTCCCCAACACCCGCCAATCCAAGCCCCCTTCTCCCTTCCTCCCTCTATCGCACTATATAGTTCCGTTTGACAGAAATACGTCCAAATGAGAAAATTAATGCAAAAATAAGAGAAGAAACCCTTAGAAATGTGGCCTGATGTATGACGTAGTATGATGTGTGGCGTGAATTGTATGAATTTTCCCACATACCCCTAATTCTGTGGACTTTATTCCAGGTGATTTTTACTTTTTTCTTCGATTCTAATTGGATATTGTTGCGACACCACGTAGGTACCAACGAGGAAGTGATGAAACGCATTAACAGTTGGCTCAAAGTCAGACAATAGGGTTATTTACTGATCGGATAAAAAAACTAGCACCACGCAGACACTCTATGAAAAATGCCCAGAAAAAAAGAGACAACGTAGAAGAGTGAAACTTTTTTTTTTAATTTCCTTTTTCTGAGTGCATTACGGATGCTTCGAAATGAAATACGCGAAAAGCGCGTAAAAATCGGACCCGCGGCGAGAGGAGATGGCGGCAGGAGAAATTGAATTTCTAAGCGATTCGTGAATCAAAATTAAAAACTATTGCTCGTTGTTAAGCTGCCAGTATCACCAGTAAAAGATTTTTTACAGTTTTGCTATGTGTATAATATTCACAGAGAGAAAAAACCAGCGAATAACGTACGTATTGCACTAAAAAAAAAGATTGTTAGAACTTACTATTCCTTCATGCTGTATTTCATATACAGCGTCAATTTAGAGTCAATTCTGCCAGAAGAAAGGTAAACGTTACTATATACTGGTACAGGTAACCATTCCTCTGGCAGAATCGACTTTGAATTCACGCTGTGTGAAATACAGCGCGAAGGAATGGTACATTCTACCAATATTTTCTTTCAGTGTGGGAGACCCTTGTAAAAGATAGAGGCTTAAAAGTGGTTTCCGTGGTTCTTCCGGATAGTTTCCTTTTGGATACTCCTCTTGAAATCTATGATGTAACGACATAAGCATCAGCATTTTCAATTTTGGAGAAAAATTTCATGTCCGAGTCTCTCATTCCACTGTGCGCCGCTGGGTCCTCGGTTCGGACGGCGCGCACGGTCTGGCATCGTCGCGATCTACGATTCGTGACACCTCCGTCAAACGACGGTTAAGCAGATTCGCTAATTGATACCAGCGAGATTTTCCCATCGCGATTCCTGCCTCGTGGCTCGGTGGGCCAAAATTTCGGATTTCGGACCGTAAATTTAAAAGGGAGAAAAAAAACAAACAAAAAATGGTTTTTCATTTGGACGGATTCGAATAGAATCAGCATAACTCTATTTCACTCTGGCAGATTTTCTCTGATATTTTACTCCCTTTATTATGTTCGAATTTGACTCTACTTTGCGAGAAGGAACTTTTATTTTTGGCTCAACCGTAAAAGCAAGTATCTACACAAGGCAACTACATTGATTATTAAATTTGTGTTCTTACTTTCTTTCCCATTGATGTAGGAGGTGAAACACGAAATAATCTGATGTTTGTGTTGATTTTGGTATAGATTGCGGTAAATTTAGAACAGAAAACAATGGAGAGACTGGGAAACCCCAGAGTCAACTGAAGGCTTGGGTTATTTTGTGTTTTACCTCTCGTATCGACCAAACTTTGGTGTTGAGTTTCCTCTCTGTGGAATAGCACATAGTTTGTTTTTAAAGTGAGCCAGAAATTAAAGTTCCCAACAGCAAAAAGTAGTCAAATTTAAGATAGGCTATTCGTGAACTACATTTCGCGAAACGGTATTCTTTTTGGCTCATCTATAAATGCACTTATCTGCGTAGGAAAAATAATGATGCTTATGTATAATGATTCTAAAATGAGCTCGAAATAAAAGTTCCTAAAAACAAAATCATACCTCCGAAAGCTGTGATTTCGGATATTTAACAGAGACAAGATGAATCCTCACTTCGCTAAATTCACGAAAAGCACGTGAAAATCTCACTGTGCTCAGCCTTAGGATCTAAAACATTGTCCCACTGTGCGATGTGCAAAAATTCCGATACCTGCGTGTTAATGGCATCCTCTTTTCATTACTTTTCCACCATGAAAGGACCACGTGATGTCCTGTAGTGGAGGGGTGGCTGCGTTACGGCCACGTAATGAGTACGTTCAAGCAGGGTTACATAACGCTTGACATTATCGAGACATACCTCATATAGGAAAATGAAATCTTGCGCCGCTAGTAAAAAATATAGTAAGAAAAGTTGGAAGATATCCCCTTTTAAATTACGATTTTGTAATCGTTTTAAAGAAATTCTAATGGTTATTCCTGAGGAATGAAATCTTATATTCATTAGAATTTACTGTGAGTATTATGTGTGTGTTTATATGAGAGAGTACTATGTATTTACACACGGCAGGACAAAATCCTTTTAGGATTGAAATAGTTGTCCTGCCAGTATGGAAAATTGTTAATTTTTTACGGAAATTGTAAAAAAAGAACACGAACATTCGAGAGTTGCCAAATCACCATATCGACGGTGAAACTACCAAACCACGTATCTCGGTTTGCGACGTCGCAGACTTCCTGTCATACTTTATTTTTTAAATGAAAAACTACTTAACGTCCAGTCTTGAAAATTTCTGTGATTGTTTCTCTTCGTGCGGAGAAAATTCTGTGAAAATTTCAAGAAATGATATTGATTTGGTCTACTTCAAAAAAATAAAATGTGAGCGTAGATTTTTAAACACCGCAAACGAGATACGTGGTTTGGTAGTTTCACCGTCGATATGTAATTCTGTAAGCCTTTTCTTTGCGTCAAAATTCAGCGCGAACCGCCGGGCCGATCCGTGCGCGGGTGGTACCGGCTCGACC